ACACAGGTATGTTACCTAGCGCTACATGTACTAACTAGCACCAGTAATAACACAGGTATGTTACCTAGCGCTACATGTACTAACTAGCACCAGTAATAACACAGGTATGTTACCTAGCGCTACATGTACTAACTAGCACCAGTAATAACACAGGTATGTTACCTAGCGCTACATGTACTAACTAGCACCAGTAACAACACAGGTATGTTACCTAGCGCTACATGTACCAACTAGCCCCAGTAATAACACAGGTCAGTGTGTGTTGCCCTCACTATCTGTACCTGTAAGTACAGGTTAAATAATCAAAACCCATGGGATTGGAGGCAGGGATAGTCTTAGCCTTTGACCAGTATCTGTCTCTGTACTTAACAGGTGGTTGGTTGTAACATTATGATTTGTAATTCTGCACTAGGTTATGAAATGATTGCTTGTTCAATGTGACTGTAATGATCCATTCTCTCAGTGCACTAGGTTTTGACCATAGATTGTTTTGCAGGTGACTGACTGAAACGATTGATCATTGCTTATTGGTTGTTGATAATTGATAATTGCTTATTTTTCAGGTGACTCGAGCGGTCCAGCCCACAGCACCGAGGAGACCCGCAGCAATCACTATGGCAACCACTCGACCAATCAGGCGGCTCTCACGCAGACCTCCCACCCCTCCATGATGATGAACCCGAGCCCCCACCTTTGGGGACTCTCCCCACCCCCGACCCAGAGCCCCGGCCTGCAGTCCCCCCTACCCCCCCAAGGTCTCCCCCTCTCCCCCCGTAACCATGGCGATGGCACTGGACGCCTCCACACACAGTCATCATCAGCATCACAACTGACCAATCACAAGCCACAGCCACCATCATCAGCATCACAACTGACCAATCACAACCCATAGTCACCATCAGCTGCATGACAACTGACCAATCAGAACTCACAGTCACCGTCAGCTGCATCACAACTGACCTTCACATCTGACACAAACACATCTCTGATGGAGGCTGCCAACAATTCTGAACTGGAGAATCCTGACAATTAAACCATGAGTTACCTACCAGTCAGAGCTACCCACATCCTAACTGCCTTTGACAGAGGCTCTAACAACATTTTTAAACTGGAGAATCCTGAAAATCCAGCCAACAAGCCAGGCCGGGGACTGCTCCTATGTATGCATCAGACAATCATATTAATGAAGACATGTTTAATGACTGGAGAATCAGCAGAAGCAGATGGACAGACTGCCTGATTATGTGCCAAAATGTTGCTTCTCACGTTGCCGTGACAACTGTTGCCGTGACAACTGTTGCCGTGACAACTGTTGCCGTGACAACTGTTGCCGTGACGACTGCGGACAAATGTCGACAATCCCAGAATTCTCAGCGGGCGAAACTGCAGCCCGAGGAACCATGGGAGGACTTACTGTACATCTTCTTAGTTCTACACTCGTGGGGTTTAGAATAGCCGTAGAGATTAGATAAATTACAGTAAGTAGGGCACCTCTTTGTAAAGAAATTCTGTCATGTCAATGATACTCAAGGTCACGTGATTCTAATGTGTGAGATGGAGGTCATCTGAAGGTGACTCTGACCTTGATGAGAGGAGAGTAGATTTGAGTGCAATCCTGCAGCCCAGTTTGACCTACATGAAGCCAGCTGGACAGAGCGCCAGGCGGTAATGTTGCCTGTCTCGAGTCCAGCTTTAGTCAGGCAGAGTCTGTAAAGGCTGGGCTAAAACTTCTCACACAATCTCACTTATAGAATATAACTATAAAACATGTGAAAGGCTGCTGTTTGAAACATGTAAATCACATGATTTCACCCATGTTAGAGACTCGTAATATTCAAAATCACATCTAACACAAGTCATCTGACAATTCATGGATCTAGATTCCATTGTACAGAATGGGTAACCATGGATACCAGTGATGTTCCCTATGCAGAATGGGTAACCATGGATACCAGTGATGTTCCATATGCAGAATGGGTAACCATGGATACCAGTGATGTTCCATATGCAGAGATAATGTTATGTTCCTAATGAGAAAACATGGATGACAAACTGTTAGTAGAGTCAGCCTGCCAGGTACATGGCCAGACTTTCTGTCTTGGAGTTGACCTCTGGAGCACCTGTTTCCTTGTGTAGGTGTCGTCAGTGATGTACACAAACTCTCCAACGTACGGAGAGTAGGTCTCCTCATACTTCAATGCCAGGAACATGGCTGAAGCTGGCCCAACCAAACTGTAATTTTCAGCAGGACACAAATAAGACTGAAGGTGACCCTGACCTTGAGGAGAGGAGGTTAGAATTGTACAGAATGGGTAACCATGGATACCATTGGTGTTCCCTATTCAGAGATTTGTTCATTACGTTCCTAAATGAGAAAACATGGATGACAAACTGTTAGTAATTTTGTCCACAGGACACAAATGAGCCCCGCATTGTAAAACCGCACAAAGTGAACAAATAGGCAAAATGAGTTTATGATGTTATGATCACAGAATCACCAAATCGTGCCTTAAACTACAATCAGATTCCTACTTCAAAGTTATCCATATCAACCTTAAGATGCCTTAAAATAAAGTTATATAAGATAAGTGTCTTAACTGAACCGTCCCTGTCCAAGGTGCTCAGTGCCTTAAGTTGTACCCACTTGTGAGAAATGTCTTGGGCATGTCAAGACTTTCCTTTTGTCTCTCTGAAGGAGTTTCTTACCCCTTTTACTGCAAAGCCATTCACATGTACAACCAACAGCACCTGGCCAGTAGGCTTGGGTGGAGCAGGGTTAATATTTAGGATATTTATTGACAATCCAATGTGTGAAATTGTAGATCAGGGAAACTGTCCTGTCGGAAGGATGGAAAAGGAACCGCAATTTTTACAGTGAAAAAATCACAACCATGACAGAAAATAGCCTTATAAAATAGCCTGATAATGTGAGATGTTTTTAGTTAGGATGAATGAATGAGCAGACATGACGAGGAGGCAGCAAAGTCCCAGGTTTCACTGGGAAATTATTTTGTAATCTAAAAATATCACAATTGCACAAGTTGTATAAAACTTTTATGTGTCCTTATTGAAATAAATAGTGAAGATAATATTGCCACGTCGTGTGTTTTCCTTATTCCTGAGAGATGGAGTCTGACTGTAGATGGAGTTATTTTCCTGAACTCTGAGGAAACTGGACTGAAACTTGGGCAGCTGAAACAGCAACTACAGGAAGTGGGGGGGGGGTGTTGAGGGGGGAACTACTGATGTTGATGCTTTGGGGGGGGGGAGGGTGTTAAGGGAACCCTACAAGCAGAGGTTAGGTCACACTGACTTCGTTCTATGGATGACATCTGGGCGTACTTCAGTTTTTTGTCCTTTTCAAGTTTGCAACCAACTGTTCTTGGTACTTGAAGGATGACACGGAGGCCAAAAGGAAAAAAGAAGATGCCAGTACCAAGTCTTCCAAAGTCAAAGAAGATGTGAAAGGACAAAAATACACTAAAAGAATTTCTTGTTAAGTATACCATCGTCTAGTGTGTTCAGTATTTTTTTTCAACCTTCCTGATCACTACAAAATGATGGCAACTTTTTATTTGCTCAACTTCTTTTTATTCGCGCACATCAGTCATCCATAATAATCATGTGATCAGGATGGCTTGAGGCCTGTTTGGGTCCCTTTTAGACGTTTTGTTGGGCCTTTCTTTTATTTTGTGGGCTTGTCTCCTAATCCTGGTCATGACAACTGATATAGTGCCCAAGACGCCCGTCCGCGGTCCGAGCAACCTGCCCAAGACGACCGCCCTGGGACGCGGAAAGGCGGTCCATTTGAACAGGTGGTCTTGAAGAGTAGCGACCGACAACTTGACTGAGACATGGTGGTTTCCATGCTAATCAAGATGACTTTATGTAACCTGTTAAACTTATTCCTGGGAAGTTTTATAGACTTACCCTTTAATATACTTACCCGAGGAACTGTTATACAGTATTACACCAAGTTGGGAAGTTTGTGCGGCCACTACCAGCCCGGGCACTTCTAGTTAATTAGGTCTGACATCGACCCGTCATCTCAGATAGTCTCCCACAACTCTGGGATCCGCACAAACCCTACACCACGGGTCAGCTCCGGCGGGAGCGCGGATTTATACAGAAATGCCTGACCTCGCATTGCCGGGCTGCTGTCAGCGGGACCAGACTCACGCTCATATAAGGCAACAATCTTGGCCGGGATCTTACCGGGTTTCAGGCCTGGGGACGGCCGCATGCCTGCCCCGACGCCTGGGGACGGCCGCATGCCTGCCCGGACGGTCTTCCATTCTGGGCGGGTCCCAGAAGACCCGTCCGCCGGCCGGCATACCAGCAAGCAGCGGGCTTCTGGTGCGGGCTGTCCGCACACGGCAAGGCTGTCAGGAACCGTTAGAACCACACGGCAAGGCTGGGCAGCTTAGTGCTGTCAGGAACAGTTAGAACGTTAGACACAGAAGTGTGCGACATGCTCATGTCCTACACTAAGCTTAGCCTCACCAGCAGGCTCTAGGATCGCACTTTGCCAAGCTTAGCGCCGTCAGGAACGGTTAGAACTTAGATACAGGACATGGCTCATGTCTGACGCGGTTAGAACTTACTGCGGAGTCAGAAGCGTGCTGCATGGCTCATGACTTAGCCTCCTCAGCAGTCTCTGCGACTGGACTTTCACAGCAAGCCGCGACATGGCTCATGTCATCAGCAGGCCCTAGGACTAGACTTTCACAGCAAGTTATGAAGCTTTTATAACGCACTTTTTCGTCTTTCTGGCATCACTATTTGTACTACGCTGGACCGGCAAAAGATCCCCTGTAGAAGCAGAAGTCGTATGTCAGAAAGAAAGAAAAACGCGTTAGACTAAAGCTCTCCAAAAAGCCCAGTGGTCGAGCCTGCTGACTAGGCTACGGGACGGTTCCTTGTCAACTTGTCGCAACGTGAAGTCTGGCGACAAATGTTATCTTTGTACAACAATTCTTATAGTGATTTTAGCCAAGAGAGGCAGCAAACTTTAGATGTTGTCTCAAACAAGTGCACCAGAAATTTATCTTGAACTTTGTTTCCAAATGTCTAACAGGTGTACCAAAGTTAAAAACTTACCCACAGGAGAAAGATAAAGTGTGCAGAAATCCACAGTTTGTTACGTTTCTGTGATTCCGTTGTTAGTTCTTTCACAACATTTGTTGAAAAACGTATGTATGGAAGACACTGTCAAATCTTTCGCCCTCTCTGTCGCCCTCTAGTGGGGTCGTGTGGCTTGAGTGTGTCGTCACCACGTCTTGTGATTACACGTTTCGAAATTTAAAAAAAAAAACAAAAAACCTTTAAACCTGAAAATGTCGTCTGAAAGTTACAAAGTTCTGGCCTATAGGATTACGGGTACTGTTACTGCTTTTCTCTTATAATATTGTTGGTTCATGCTTTGCCAAGTTTGTGGTGTTGGGCCCGCTAGTGAGTAAGATCAGTTGGACGTGAAAAACAGACGCCGATATCCCGCACCAAGTTGTCTTTCCAAAGGGCGGAATATCTCTGTTTTGTCACGTGATGTAGCGTTACTCGCGTTAGGGTCGCTAAGTGCCTGCTGTTCTAATGATGAACGCTAGAGGACGCCCGTGTACGGCGATTTGTAACTTCTACAAGTTCTAACTTTACGTGTTGATGTTTTCCTTAGGGGATGTCATTGCTACAGAGTTTAACGTTAAAATTCCTCCAAGAACGCTGCCCCTGTATGGACCGATGCCTCATTGAAATCAGCCGAAAAAAAATCCAGTTTTCTGTAAGTGCATATGCTATAATCTCCAAGCAGATGTTTAGGTGGCCGCAAAAGACAGTATCAAATTGGCTAGGCAGTATCCATTGGCCAGACTGTATCCATTTGGGTGGCCAATGGATACTGCTTGGCCGATATGATACTGTATTTTGTGGCCACCCAAACATCTGCTTGGAGATTATATGCTACTGCCTGCCAGGGTAACTTGGGTGCAGTTCTATGGAATTCCGCTAGAGTTCGCTAAATTTAGAACGTGAATCAAAGACAGCATTTTTCATTATTTCCAGACGTAGACGTAGATTTTATGGATTATTTAAACCGTAGATGATTTCCTTACCTCTCTAGTTCACAGAACGCGTCACGATTTTATAAAACCGCGATGAAAAAGAATAAAGTCACTCCGTGAGTCAGTCCCACTTCCGGTCTGTGCGCGGTGCATGCTGGGATAGCTCTGTGACGTCAAAGCTGTTTTTTTGTTTGCTGGTAAAGAGTTAAAACCTGCGGTTTTGGTGCTGCTTTTGGGCTGATTTACTGACGAAAATCTGCTGCAGACGTGAAGCTACAACCCTGCCGGCTCTTCTGGTGTCTGATTATCGGCATAAGGTGCAGAAATCAGGTAAGGTGGCGTTAGCAGGGGTAAAAACGCTGGTTTGGGCAGAAATGTCGGCCGAGCCGACTGATCATCATGAGAGAAAGTATCTGTCGTCCAACCAAACACGGAAACTTGACGTAAAATCCTGATTATGTGAGAGTCCTGAAGCAGTGAACAACCAGATGTACCTAAACCCTCTCCCGGTACATCGAGAGTACGCACAGATTCGATGTGCTCTCCTAGAAACACTCCCAGCATCACGCAAGCATAAGGAACCAAGAGTCAAATACCCTAGACCAAGAGAGACTTTTTGACTCTGAACTGAACCATGCGAAAACGAGCACCAAGAGAACACGTCTAGCGATACATCAGACGTTAAACAAGGACAACAACAACAACATTATGTCGTCTGTTTTGTCACGTGTGTGTCGGTGTGAGAGTATGAGATTAGACGGTTTGTTTCAGCCTAAAAAAACATGATTGGGTCGGTTCCTGCCGCCCCCCTCCCCCATAACCAGGCAGCCCAGAGGTGTCATACTTACTGCTGTATCTTCACTTTGGGCTGAAAAACTTCCTCTGTGTCAGCGTTTAACCCTTACTCTACTGCCCAACAACAGGAAATCCTTAGCCAAACGGCTACCTCTGTATGCTGAAGGTTAATTTGGATGAAAAACGAAGGTAGACTCTAAGAGAAAGGAGAGCCTTATGATATAATCCCAGCATAGGTGTGAATGGACACAGATTTGGTTTTTGGTTTGGTTTTCTTTTAATGCCCACGATCATGATAATGATCATTCTGGCATACTCATTTTCATCTGAGCGAAGTGAGGAAAGTCGTGTAAAGTGCCTTTCCCAATGGCACAAGATCGGTGACAAGGTGGGGTTTGAACCCGGGGCCTCTTGGTTTCGAGCTGAACATGCTACCGCTACGCCACACGACACACACATTTTGTACATGTTGATGTATCACTACTGTATGGTTTGGGGGCTGGCGGGGGAAAAGGTACTCCTACTACTAGTACTAGTAAATGTACTTGCAGGGTCTCTCAGATATGTCTCTTTGTCAATGATTTATTCAAAGTTGAGTCTACGACAAATCCGATTTCTGGACAGTCTAGATGTACTGTATGTCGTTAGAGTTAGACTGTCTAACGTACATGTGCAGTCTAGATGTACTGTATGTCGTTAGAGTTAGACTGTCTAACGTACATGTGTGCTAGATGTACTGTATGTCGTTAGAGTTAGACTGTCTAACGTACATGTGCAGTCTAGATGTACTGTATGTCATTAGAGTTAGACTGTCTAACGTACATGTGTGCTAGATGTACTGTATGTCGTTAGAGTTAGACTGTCTAACGTACATGTGTGCTAGATGTACTGTATGTTGTTAGAGTTAGACTGTCTAACGTACATGTGTGATGATTGAATCTTTGTGAAGAGTCATCTTCTGGTATTGTTATGTCACGAGTATGTTGTTTGTCTTTGTGTATAATAGACTCCAACAGTGCTTCTAAGTTCTTACATGAAGGAAAATAATCACCACAGAAATCTGCTCTTTTTGTTCCATGGCAGTATTAGCCCTGGGTAATACCAAATGCAGCTGCTGCTGTGCTGTCAATGTTATTAAAATACATGAACTGATTAAGTCTCCAGCCATAATTAGTCTGGATTGCTGGTAGTATGACACGTTCCAATACATGCTGTATAAGTATAATATCGTAATGGCCTAGAATGAAATGTGTAACTCCTCTTAATCTTATTACTGTATATTATAACTGCCATTTCTTGTAGCGACCTACAGCATTTGAAATAATTTATCAATATTGATGTAATAATTTTAAGAAGGTTACTTAATTTTTATGTTATTCCACACTGTGGAATTAATCCACATGGTATTTTTGTCTGGTAGCCTGGGTTTGCATGTTCCAAGTTGTACCCCACTCTGCAGGTTTTGAACTGTTATCAGGATTTCAGGACTTTGACAGTTTTCCTGTGTTTCCCCACAGGTTAGGATCATGTCCCAAAAGTGGCTTCCATCATCCTTCCTGTTTTTTTCTGCAGGTTTTAGGGATAAGTTTGAACAGTTTTCAGGATTTCAGACGTTAAACCGGATAAATAGACAGATAGAGAGAGGACTAAGTCTGAAGTTTTTCTGTTTTATTCCCTGCAGGTTAGGATCATGTCGTACCCAGAAGTGGATTCGAACTCCTGCAGCTCGGCCTCCATCAGCCTCCCGGGAACGGTGCGTCCGACCCGGAAGCAGTCGCGCTTCTCCTTCCGACACCTCTTCTCCCGTGGCTCCAAATCCCGCCGGCACAAAGGTCGCGACCCCGAGGGCGTTCCCATGGCGATCGCATCGGTGTCTGCGCAGACAGCGCTCGGTTCGCCCGGCGGAATTCGCCTCAGCGCGGCCGGGGACAAGGCGACGGAATGTCCGCTGTGCTGCACAGAGTACCCGCCCGCGAACTTCCCCGACATCGCCACCTGCCCGCACCGCTCCTGCATCGACTGTCTGAGGCAGTACCTCCGCATCGAGATCACCGAGAGCAGAGTCAACATCTGCTGCCCAGAGTGCTCCGAGAGGTTCCACCCCACCGACATGCAGCGGATCCTCGCGGACCCGGGGCTCATGGAGAAGTATGAGGAGTTCATGCTGAGGAGATGCCTGGTGCTGGATCCCGACTCCCGCTGGTGCCCTGCTCCGGACTGTGGGTAGGTCTTACAGGGGTCTTACACAGGTCTTACACAGATCTTACACGGGTCTCACACGGGTCTTACACAGGTCTTACACAGGTCTTACACAAGTTGTGTTGTTTATTTTTGCTGTTATTGTGTTTACAGCTATGCAGTGATAGCTACCGGCTGTGCCAGCTGCCCCAAGCTGCAGTGTTTAAGAGAAGGCTGCGGGATGTGTTGTTGTTTAGTGTTGTTGTTTACTGTTGTTTATTGTTGTTGTTGTGTTTACAGCTATGCAGTGATAGCTACCGGCTGTGCCAGCTGCCCCAAGCTGCAGTGTTTAAGGGAAGGCTGTGGGACGTATTTCTGCTACCACTGTAAGCAGGAGTGGCACCCGAACCAGACGTGCGACATGGCGCGGCAGCAGCGGGCAAACAACCTGCGCTCCTCGTCCGTCAGCCACTCGCAGGTACGAACATGAATACTGTTTGGCATTGATTGGCAGCCAGTGTGGGCTGAACTGTACAAGTGTGACATAATAAAACTTGGTGCTGTGAAGTTTAAAACCCGGATACGTGGCACACTGAACACCCGGACTTTGCCTCCGCAGGTCTCCGCCGCAGACGACATCAAGCCCTGCCCGCGCTGCGGCGCCTACATCGTCAAGATGGACGACGGTTCCTGCAATCACATGACCTGCGCCGTCTGCGGGGCCGAGTTCTGTTGGCTCTGCATGAAGGAGATCTCCGACCTCCACTACCTAAGGTCAGTCACCTCTCACCTCCGACCTCCACTACCTGAGGTCAGTCACCTCTAACCTCCGACCTCCACTACCTCAGGTCAGTCACCTCTCACCTCTGACCTGCACTACCTAAGATCAGTCACCTCTAACCTCTGACCCCACTACCTCAGGTCAGTCACCTCTCACCTCCGACCTCTAAGGTCGGTCACCTCTCACCTCCGACCACTACAAAGAATCCTGTGTTTATTGTTTGTTTGTTGACAGTCCATCAGGCTGCACGTTCTGGGGGAAGAAGCCGTGGAGCAGGAAGAAGAAGATCCTGTGTTGTTGATTGTTTGTTGTTTATTGTTTGTTTGTTTGTTTACAGTCCATCAGGCTGCACGTTCTGGGGGAAGAAGCCGTGGAGCAGGAAGAAGAAGATCCTGTGGCAGCTTGGCACGCTGGTCGGGGCGCCGGTCGGCATTGCTCTGATCGCCTCCATATCACTGCCAGCCATGATCATCGGCATCCCGGTTTATATGGGCAGGAAGGTGAGAAACAAGCTTTGACCCGACTTCAGAACTTTGACCCTGACTCTAACCCCACCTCATACCCCTGACCCTGGCTCTGACATGACCTCAGAACTCTGACCCTGACTGTAGCCCGACTTCAGAACTCTGACCCTGAACTCTGACCCAACCTCAGAACTCTGACGCTGACTCTGACATGACCTCAGAACTCTGACCCTGACTCTAGCCCGACTTCAGAACTGTGACCCAGAACTCTGACCCAACCTCAGAACTCTGACGCTGACTCTGACACGACCTCAGAACTGACTCTAACCTGACCTCAGAACTTTGACCTTGACTCTAACCTGAACTCAGAACTCTGACTCTAAGCCGACCTCTGAACTCTGACCCATTTTGCCCTCTGCAGATCCACAACAAGTACGAGAACCTCCCCCCACACCGGCGGCACCTGGCTGTGACTGGGGGAGTTTCATTATCTATCCTGGTGGCACCTGTGCTGGCAGCACTCACTGTTGGTAAGGCTACCTACAACATCTGACAGTTTTCAAAATCTGTCCAGTTGCTTGAGTAACTGTTTTCTTGAGTCATGGTACTTAAGTTGGTGGTACTCCATAGGCTGTTCCTATGTAAAGTTTCATGCATTCGTGTACAGCATGGTTTTTACCATCTCTGTGTGGCACTGATCATGACTGATGTGTGTTGTGTTTGCAGATATAGGAGTCCCCATCATGCTAGCGTACGTGTACGGAGTTGTCCCCATCTCGCTCTGCCGGTCGGGCGGCTGTGCAGTACTGATGTGTACTGTGGTACTGATGTGTACTGTGGTACTGATGTGTACTGTGGTACTGTGTGGTACTGATGTGGTACTGATGTGTACTGTGTCTGTTGTGTTTACAGGTATCGGAGTCCCCATCATGCTAGCCTACGTGTACGGAGTAGTCCCGATATCCCTGTGCCGGTCGGGCGGCTGCGGCGTTCGCACCACGCAGAAGGGCGGAGTTCGCTTCGAGTTTGACGATGACAACGAAGCAGCGGCCGGAGTGGCCGGGACTATGGCAGGTGGGGTGTTATAAGTTATATCAGGCATGTAGGAACTACCCAACGTGGGTCGTGTGTTAATAACATGGGTCTTGTGCCAAAAGTGTGGGTCATGTGTTGGCAACGTGGGTTGATAATGGGTTGTGTGATGCTAACGTGGGTTGTGTGTGATGTCTGTGTTACAGGAGATACAGGCAGCCTGGGCCCCAGCCTGCAGGGAAAGGAGGGAAACCCCAGTATCGGGGAGGGCAGCCTGCTGTCTGTGTGTGGGATGTGTGATGCTGATGTGTGTGTGTTGTATGTGTTACAGGAGAAACAGGCAGCCTGGGCCCCAGCCTGCAGGGGAAGGAGGGAAACCCCAGTATCGGGGAGGGCAGCCTGCTGTCTGTGTGTGGATAGTGGGTTGTGTGATGCTGATGTGTGTTGTCTGTGTTGCAGGAGATACAGGCAGCCTGGGCCCCAGCCTGCAGGGGAAGGAGGGAAACCCCAGTATCGGGGAGGGCAGCCTGCTGTCTGTGTGTGGGTTGTGTGGGTGTATAATGTGTTGTATGTGTCTGTGTTACAGGAGAGACCGGCAGTCTGGGCCCCAGCTTGCAGGGGAAGGAGGGAAACCCCAGTATCGGGGAGGGCAGCCTGCTGTCTGTGTGTGGGTTGTGTGGGTGTATAATGTGTTGTATGTGGGTCTGTGTTACAGGAGATACAGGCAGCCTGGGCCCCAGCCTGCAGGGGAAGGAGGGAAACCCCAGTATCGGGGAGGGCAGCCTGCTGTCTGTGTGTGGGTTGTGTGGGTGGATAATGTGTTGTCTGTGTTACAGGAGATACAGGCAGCCTGGGCCCCAGCCTGCAGGGAAAGGAGGGAAACCCGTCTATCGGGGAGGGCAGCCTGCTGTCTGCCAGCAGCTCGCAGGTGGAGCGACTCGGCGTTCTGAGGGACTCTGTCAGCGACCGGGACTCCGCCAGTACCATGGCCATCGCGGGCAGTCTGGGCGGGAGTACCGTGGTCACTACTGCTCACAGGTCAGTACCGCAGTGTTACCATGGTTACAAGGTTACCATGGTTACCATAGTTACCATAGTTACCATAGTTACCATAGTTATGGTGTTGCCATAGTAACAGAGATTGTTGCCCCGCAGGTTGGAGGTCCAAGCAGATGTGCAGAGGAAGCGGTGCAGTGTGAGCAGCATGGTTGCCATAGTTACAGTGTTGCCATAGTTACGGTGTTGCCATAGTTACATTGTTGCCATAGTAACCGTGTGTGTTGCCCCACAGGTTGGAGGTCCAAGCAGACGTGCAGAGGAAGCGGTGCAGTGTGAGTAGTGAGTCCCCCTCCGCCAGCCTGGGCGATAACGCCAGCACGGTCGCCATGGCCGGCTCACTGCTGAACGGCATCGGAGCCTCGTCCTACACGCTGGGCGGGGCCGTTGCCGGGGCAACCATCCCCCCGCTGGACACGGCCGGGGACCTGACGGGGAAGCCGAAGTCTCGGCACAGCAGCGGATCCAGCAGCCTGGACAACCTGCAACCTGCACAGGACAACCTGCAGCATGCACAGGACAGCCTTCAGCATGCACAGGACAGCCACACAACCTGCTGCCGCACAGCCAAGGCCAGCAAACGGGGCTCGCACAGGCGCAGCAAGGTCAAGATCCAGCAGGACAAGGTCAAGGGCGCGGGGGACGCCGAGAGGAAAGTCTGGAGCCGGGAGGAGTCAGACAGGAGAGTGTGGGCACGAGACAGCAGCGGGGGACGGAACAGGGACAGCAGGGACAGCAGTGATGCTGACCGGAAAGCTTGGGCCCGGGACAGCAGGGACAGCAAAGACAGCTGTGTGACCAGGGACAGCAGAGACAGCTCCTGTCCCTCCCCTTCCATCAGCCTCTGCAGCACCACAGACTCTCACTGCAGCCGGACTGACTCCCACTGCAGTCACTACTCTGAGGGCAGCCTGGCGCTGTCCATCCACACAGACAGCTCTAGCAGAGGGACAGCTGCTGTCCACATAGATGCCTGCAGCAGGGGGACAGCTGCTGTCCAAACAGACAGCTCCAGCAGAGGGACAGCTGCTGTCCACACAGCAGAAACCTTCAGCAGAGCTGTTGTCCACATAGATGCCTCCAGCAGAGGGACAGCTGCTGTTCCAGCTAAAACAGACAGTTTAAGCCAGATGTCTGGAGCTGTACTGCCTGCCGATGGGGACCCCTCCAGCAGAGGGTCTGCTGCTGCCAACATGTCTACAAAACTTGACTCTTCGAGCCAGAGTTGTGAGCCTGACACCTGTGCTAAAACAGACACCTCCTGCCAGAGTTGTGAGCCTGCCATTTCTGCTAAGACAGACCCTCCTGCTGCGGGACTGCCAGCCCACGGGGACTCCAGCCGGGGCTCCGGGCCGGCCAGCGCTCGCAGCGTTTCCCCGCTGACAGAAGTAGAAAACGACCGTCCGGACGTGCTGAGTGCCGGGCGTGGGGCACCGTTTCCCTCAGAGACGCAGTCGTTAGGGCATATTGCTGAGGAGAGTGGGGAGGGGGGCGACGGCATGGGCAGGAGATGGTACAGCCTGGAGGAGCCGAGTCCAGCACACACAGACACACACCACAGCTCGCTTCATCACACATCACTATAACACACAGACATCACAGCTCACGATAACACTTTACTATAGAACAGATGTAAGGCTATAGAACTACAGACACAGCCACAGCTCTCTATAGGACTTTACCATAGAACAGAGTTAACTATAGAACTACAGAGTTTACTATAGAACTAGAGTTTACCCTACCATTAAAAATAAGCAGAGTTCTGTATAAAAGGAGAGTTAAATAAATGTAGAGGCAGTAGAAAGTACCATAGTTTGCTGTAAACCGTTCGTTTGTGCAAAGCCGTTTAATTGTGATAATTTGTGGTGAACTGAACAGGAAAGTTTACCGTAAAAAGCTGCAGTTTGTTGTACTAAAATGTCACCTCACTGTGAAACAGTCAAGTTTGTTGTAAGACATTTATGAGTTCTGAAAAGCTCCCAGCAAAACCAGCCGTGCAGCGTGGGAACATGTGAAATTGTTGCATAACTAAAAATGGCAACAGGAGTGGCGGCCATTCGCCACTTGCCTATCATGTTGCCATGACAACTGATACTGTGTAGAATACCTGTTGCCTAGGTTTCCAAGTGAAACAGTTCTGTTGCCAATAATGCACCAATTGTATGTAGAACAGCTGTTGCCTAGATTACCATATAGAACAGCTGTTGCCAAGGAACCCACTTACCATGTAGAACAGATGTGTATCACGTAGATCTGATGTTGCCAAGGACACTTACAATGTAATATATCTGTCCCAGTATGTGGGTGATGAAGGGAGGCCGATTTCAAATTTCCAAGAAGGTTTGGCCAGAGGTAGAAAACTGCAGGATGAGACCACGTGTTTGGTCAGAGGAAGAAAACTGCTGGATGAGACCATGTGTACTGCAGGATGAGACCATGTGAACTGCTGAATGAGACCATATGTTTGGCGAGAGGAAGGAAACTGCAGGATGAGACCATGTGTTTGGCCAGAGGAAGAAAACGGCAGGGTGAGACCATGTGTTTGGGCAGAGGAAGAAAACTGCAGGATGAGACCATGTGTTTGGGCAGAGGAGGAAAACTGCAGGATGAGACCATGTGTTTGGCCGGAGGAAGAAAACTGCAGGATAAGACCATGTGTTTGGCCGGAGGAAGAAAACTGCAGGATAAGACCATGTGTTTGGCCAGAGGAAGAAAACTGCTGGATGAGACCACGTGTTTGGCTGGAGAAAGAAAACTGTTAGATGAGACCATGTGTTTAGCCAGAGTAAGAAAACTTCAGGATGAGACCATGTGTTTGGCCAGAGAAAGAAAACTGTTATATGAGACCATGTCTTGTTCAATCACCCTCAGAATGAATTCATTTTTGCTCCAGCAGTGAAGCTAGATGAAGTGTAAATCCATATTTTACCAAAAGATGTAATGAAATTAAAATAAAGTTATGTTTTTTTCAGCCCTTTGTTTCCAAGTCGTGACATTTATTTCTTGTACTGTTGAGTAAGATGATAGATTTCTGGTACATTGTATCCCTGGAGACCTTCGCAAATTTATTTTCCCGCCTAATTGTTCCCTAACCTGCATGAAGACATTTCAAACAATAGCGAGCGGCGCACCAGTCAAGCTGCCTTTCAGCCGAAAGGTCTCATCTTGCCTGGGACACATTTTGCAGAGAAATAAGTAGGGAAATCAAGAGATGCACACCAGTACCTGGTGTCTAAAAATCATACTGCACTGTAGGGTGCCATCTAGTGTTGGAAAGCCACACTCCTCTGTTCTTATGTGATTTGTGAAGAATGTTGGTACCTTTGCATACGGTTATATTTAAAGGCTTTTTTCAAGGCATCATTTCTATGAAGTATATGAACCATAATTTTGTATGTTTTATAATCAGGATTTGCAAGTTTGAAAACCCTTTCTGTGGGCTTTTTAGTAAACATTTGATGGTGTACGTAGGGTGTTCAGTTACTGTATGTTTCCTAAAAAAAACAGACCACTTCTGTCCACATATTGGAAGCACTGCACTCCAGTGAGTTCAGGTTCAGAGGGATTTATTTAGGCTTTTGTAGCATGTTGTACAGCGTGTGCATGGTTGTGTGCCCAGCACGTCTACTAGATATTTGTTTCCCGAGTGGTTCTAAATGGGAATTAGCAGTTTTTTGGCAAACCGTCAGATGTGCAAGACTTTCTGCCAAGGTTCAATGATTCTGCTGACTTTTCTGTTGCTGTTCCAGTTTGTTGTGTACCTGTTACTGTTAGAGCGTAGAGCCACACAGGCACTAAACATCCAATGCCAGGTTTGGACGTTAGTGTTACAATTTTTTTGGTTTAGGTATACCTAATTTTGGCACATTTCACATTGAAATGCATGTGGTGGGTATGACAAAATACAACTACACAACACGGTGTATTTTGCATGTGATTCGGAATACAGAGTGTAGCGTTTTGCATTGAAACCAGGAGACAACACAACATACTATACCTGTAATAATGATTCTGTATCGATGCCAGAAGACAGCACAACATACCGTACTTATACTTGTAATAATGTTAGTAACTTTATTCACAGAACAAAAGGTTTGTACAAGAACCTTCAGTAACATAACATAGAACCAAACTAATCATAAAGAAAGTAAATAGGTGAAACATTTGTACACTTCCCTCACATGTAGATCTTTCTGTACATTACATAATTAACACATTTTTCTGTCCAGAAATCAAAAGTTATAGCTCATATTCACCTCCAAAATATTACATCCAATCTCGGTCAGTTAATCTATAAGTTCATCTTGGTCAGCTGATGGGAAAAACAAATTTGTCCAGTCATGATATTTGTTCCTGCCTTTTAAAAATCAGGCAAAACTTTTGCAGGTTCCCCATTTGTCATTTTGTATTTTCCTCATGAATGTGCAACATTGCTGGTTCTGTCTAGATATTTATACATTTACTATCCTATGGAGATTTTAAAAGGTTGTTGGAAACTAAACATACGGTAATATTGCTCTGTTTGAATGAAAATCACTGGATACTTGGATCCAGAAAACTACAGATTTGGATCCAGGGATCCCACTAGAGATTGGGATTATATCAGCTAGGATCTAGCAGAGTTGGATCAGCTTGGATCCAGCTGGGATTAGACTGGCTGTGATCCAGTTTGGACTGTATCGGTTTGGATCTCACAAGATTAGAGCTTATCTTGAAAGTTCATCTGAGTTGGTAGAAATCTTTATGAAGCAAGTTTAACTGCAATTTCCAACACAACAACGTGTTGGAAGTTGCAGTTTAAACTTGCTTCATAAAGATTAGATCTGTTTGGAACTAGCAAAGTTAGATCAGCTGTGATCCAGCTTGGATTAGATCGGTTTGGATCCCACAAGATTAGATCGGTTTGGATAAAGCTTGGATTAGATCGGTTTTGATCCCACAACCCCGTTGGCTGCTGGGGCGTCCAGTGACCCCGAGGAGGACTGAAGGTTAGAGGTCAAGTTCTGAGCCTTGAACCTGACCTCGAAAACCTCCTGGATCGCCTGCCGGAAGCAGTGGAAGTTGTAGTCTATAATTCCTGCAGAAAAAGAGGGAGGGGAAAAAATTTATTTTTCAATCATGACACACTCCCGTAGTTCCTTATGGAAAGGCAGAGGGACATTGCAGGAACGACCTTGGTGAAAGACAGGGACAAATGTTGCAGGAATGACCTTGCTGAGGCAGAGAAATGTTTGCGGACTGACCTTGTCTGTCGAAGTTGTCCTCTCGCAGGATACACACCAGCGCCAGGAACCTGTTGACCTCCCGCAGGTACAGGATCGTCGCGTTGTTCAGCTTGATGATGGAGGATGACTCTTTGTCATAGCAGCTGCCCTCCCCGTCTTTCAAGCTGAAAACAACAAGGGGGTTGCCATAGTTACCATGTTGCCATAGTTGCCATGGTTACCATAGTTACCATGTTGCCATAGTTACCATGTTGCCATAGTTACCATGTTGCCATAGTTACCATGTTGCCGTAGCTACCATGTTGCTATAGTTACCATGTTGCCATAGCTACCAGTTGACTCACCCGTAGATACAGGAGACGTCTATGACGACGTCGATCATGTCACAGCAGAGTTCGTAGGACTGCATGTCGACGGGCGAGCTGTCAGTGGCGATGTAGATCTTACTCACGACATCGAACAGGAACGCTTTCTCAATCCCAGAGTTCTGCAGGGAGACAGGAGGGTACATGTGTGTGTGTGAGTGTAGGACTGCAGGAGGGTACATGTGTGTGAGTGTGTAGGACTGCATGTCGACCGGCGAGCTGTCGGTGGCGATGTAGATCTTACTCACGACGTCAAACAGGAACGCTTTCTCAATCCCAGAGTTCTGTAGGGAGACAGGAGGGTACATGTGTGTGTGTGAGTGTAGGACTGCAGGAGGATACACGTGTGTGTGTGAGTGTGTAGGACTGCATGTCGACCGGCGAGCTGTCGGTGGCGATGTAGATCTTACTCACAACATCGAACAGGAACGCTTTCTCAATCCCAGAGTTCTGCAGGGGAAACAGGTAGATCAGACTGTGCTGGCGCTGGTGACTCGTACCCGTACTCACCACGTGTTTGTGTGTGTTTGTGTGTGTGTGTAAAGTGCATGTAAGACTATACCTACCGAGATGAGAATATTGAGCAGGTTCTCCAGGGTCGGCAGCTGGGGGATCAGTTTGTGTGTGTGTGAGTATGTCCCTGTGTGTGTGTAAGGGTGTGTTTAGTGTGTGTGAGTCTGTCCGTGTGCGTGTGTGTACTGTACAGTGGTACGTACCGAGATGAGAATGTTGAGCAGGTTCTCCAGGGTCGGCAGCTGGGGGATGAGTTTCTGCACAACTTTGCTGAAGGCCTCGAAGATGGAGTGGTCATAGATACTCGTCAGGTAGAAACTGCAAAACAAACAAAACAGGAAATAATGAATTACAGAAACTGCATGTATCAACATGGAATATTTTTAGTGAGCCAAGTGATAAGGATAAGGAATTTAAATTAGCTGGGTTTGGGGTAATCGTTAGGTTTATGCTGGGGTTAGTGTTTCTGGTAGTTTAACCCACCTGAGGTGAATGGCCTCCAGGATAAGGTTTGGGGTTAGGGTTAGGTGTATGTAGAGTTAGGTGTATGTAGTACATGTTATGTATCATGCCCATGTTTAACCCACCTGAGGTGAATAACTAGCTGGGTTTGGGGTTAGCGTTAGGTTTATGCTTTGCTTGGGGCTAGGTTTAAGCTAGTTTAACCACCTGAGGTGAATGGCCTCCAGGATAAGGTTTGGAGTTAGCGATAGGTGTATGCTGGGTTTGGGATTAGTGTTTATGTTACCTGAGGTGAATGGCCTCCAGCCCAGCGTCGGCCAGGTCATCGTTAGCCCGCTGGTGAATGTCTCGCTGGGTCTCGATCTTATGGTCGTCTGACAGGCCGTCCACCTGGGGTCAGGTCAGGGGTCAAGGTCATTATCATGGAAACACAGGGGTCAAGGTCATTATCATGGAAATATGGGTCAAAAAGGGGATTATCATGGGATGTTCAAATAGAAAATGTAGAATTTCCCCAAATGTTAGGACTGAACAAAGTAAAAACTGACCTTGTGGATGAAAACTTCAAACTTGATGTTAGGGTTGACCTTGTACGCCCTTGAGACTGTCATGTGAAGTTTTGCCAGAGCCTCCATGTAGTCATCCTGGTGCACAGGAAGGAAATGATGGCGTCACACACAAAACCCATACACTCTATTGCTACTACAACCTTACTAGTAGCCACAACAGGCACACAAACCCACACCCACTGCTACAAACTTAGCCACAACAGGCTGAGCAATGGATTTTACCTTAGTTAGACAGTGATGTCTTCTGTTCACAACAACATAAGAACACAGGTGTACTAAGTATTTCTCACCTGTGTGACAGGTACTAGTATATCTCACCTGTGCATCAATGACAAAGATGAGAGCTCCGCAGCCACCAAAGATCATCTCTGAGTCGAAGGTTGGATCGAAGAAGTCGATTTGTCCGGGGAAGTCCCAGATTTGGAACTGCACAAACGAGCTGTTGGAAATATCTGGAGAGAGAATACACACGTTACACCATGATCATTATATCATGTACTATATCTGGTACAGCTGCACAGTACTTGTTTGTACAATGAAAGCACACCCGTGTTGCCATGGTAACCTACCGTCCTTGACGATCTTGTTGGTGGACTCCAGAAACAGGGTTTCGTTGGGAGACATCTTATGGAACACGACCTTCTGGATGGATGACTTCCCGCTCCTGGGGAGGAACAGAGGTCAGGGAAAGGTCACGCACAGGTCATGTGAGGTTACAGGTCACATGGGAGGTCATGTGAGGTTACAGGTCACAGGTCAGAGGTCACACAGGTCATGTGAGGTTACAGGTCACACAGGTCATGCAGAGATCACACAGTTCATACACATGCTGACTGCCAAAGAAAACTCCCATTCATGGGAATACACAAACAAGCAAACAAACAAACAAGCGTGACCTCCTGAGCCCCATGAGCAGGATTCTGGGCTTGCTCTCGGCTGAAGGTGACCGATCCTCCGTGTCCTGTTCGTCAGGGCCGTACCCGAAGTCCTTCGGGAAGGAGCCGACGACTCCGTAACTCCCGAAGTTCTCATCATCATCGTACGACTGGAACAAGACAAAATCATAAACAACTCTGGTTACACAACAACAACAACAACATCTCCTGCTTTCTTTCCTCAGTTTATATCTCACTCTTATCTCTCCAAACAACACGAAGTTCTCGTCATCATCGTACGACTGGAACAAGACAAGAAGATAAACAACTCTGGTCACACAACTTCTCCTGGTCACACATACAACTTCTGCTGCTTTCTTTCTTCAGTATATATCACACTCCTATCTCTTCATACAACCTTTACACTAAAGATACATATTTTAGCTGACAAAGGTACCACAGGCAGTACGATGTTTTACCAACTGCCCCCCTCCCCACTCCCGCAAGTTTACGGCTCACAAGTTACGGAATCGGGCGGAAAGTGACGCCAACAATAACCGCACACGTACCGCCATGAAGTCCGCTACAGTTCAGCACAGATCAGACGCAAACTGGGGCAGGGCGTCAGGGTTAGGCGGCAGATTAAGGCGTCCTCCGTCCCGACAACAGTCTTCTCTTTCTGCGCCAGTCATGTGATGTCAGGTCACCGGAACTGCGGTCTGACCCGGAAGTACTACTGGCCACATCTGCAGGCATTGTGGGATAGCACCAAGCCGATCGGCACAAAGATTTTTGCGACTTGCAGGTTCGTCAGTTTGGGTTCAAAATGGCTCGTTTTTACCTCACATTTCAGATAGCGAACAGACTGTAGGTTCTGCAGCGCCCCTGGCTGTATTTCACACGAGTTTCTCTGGGTTCTGGGGAATTACGGAAGGTTGGAGCAGTGCTAAAGCCTATGGTAGTGCTCGGTGGGGAGGGGGGCTAATCGGAAAAGCGCGTATGCGCACCACTCAACCAAAAATTATTTGTAGGCCTGGAAGTAAAAGGGAAGACCGCAGCGAAGTAAAAATAACCAAAAGCCTGCATCCTGCATGTTTTGAGATGAGCAAAAAATGATCCTGAACGTAGATCTAATCTTTCGTTTAGAGAAATCACATGCCGGGAAGGGGGGTGGTTGGTAACATATGGCAGCTTTTCCAAGCCGTACCCATGATCACGTATTTATAACCTGGCTCTACTGTGAGTCTGTGACCTTAGCCCAAGAGGAACAGGGATTTTGTACCTGGTGCAGCTGTGGTGGTTTCATGCATGTAGCTCAGATCTTATGTTGTTATAGCAGGGCTCCGTGATTTCAAAATTATATAGTCGCACGCGTCAAAAATTCTGGGCGCATGTTCCACATACTGTTATGGCCTATAGGGGAGTTTCTCATCAACACAAATTTGATCTCTATATCCGTTGTGTTAGAAAAAGTTCATCATATTACTATTATTACTACCAACACAGATAAACTTTAAGTTTAACTTTCATGATAATGAAAATAAATTAGTAAAGTTTAAACTGATAATTTTCTGAACTGATGCTGTCTGCAAGAACAACTGAATTCAGAGTCAGACTCTGTTTTCAGTCATTATTGATTGGTTGATAAATGTTCTTGCCCTGTCCAGCTGAGGTCAGAGGTCGTTGCCATGGGAGACAGCGATGACGAGTACGATCGCCGCCGAGGCCGCGACAAATTCCGTCGGGAGAGAAGCGACTACGACCGAACGCGGGAACGGGACGACAGACGCAGGGACGACTGGAGCGACAGGTGATTTTTACCAGTTAGTTACGAGTTAATTACGAGTTAATGACTTATCACTAACTTGAGTCAGAGTTAATGAGTTATCCCTAACTTGAGTGAGAGTTAATGAGTTATCACTAACTTGAGTGAGAGTTAATGAGTTATCACTAACTTGAGTGAGAGTTAATGAGTTATCACTAACTTGAGTTAATGAGTTAGGGTTAATGAGTTATCAGTAATGAGTTCTGTTTCCCTGTCCAGGCGGCGTGACAGTTGGGACATGCAGTCCCGAGACCGGCGGAGGGACTACCGAGACTACGACCGGGGCCGGCGCGACCGCTACAGCCCCCCGAGACACGACATGAGCCCTCCCATGAAGCGTATGAGACGTGACTGGTATGCGACTTTCCTTACTTATCAGTACAGTCTGGTACGAGCTTGTTTTCCTTAGTTATCAGTACAGTCTGGTACGGGCTGGTTTTCCTAAATAAGTATTGCTTAAACAAACAAACAAACCTTATCAATTCAGACTGGTACGGAACTTTCCTTACTTATCAGTTCAGTCTGGTATGGGCTGGTTATCCTTAAACTGTTGCTTAAACAAACAAACAAACCAAAAAACCTTATAACTACAGCCTGGTACGAGGCTTTCCTTACTTCTCAGTTCAGTCCAGTATGGACTGGTTTGACGGGATACAGGCCCGGGTATTATATGCCTGGATACGGGGTCCCATGTACGGGTAATACGTATGACTGTACTGTGTATATTGTGTATATTGCAGGGATGACGGGGGATACGGGCCCGGGTATGATATGCCTGGATACGGGGGCCCATGTACGGGTAATACGTATGACTGTATTGTGTATATTGCAGGGATGATGGTGGATACGGGCCCGGCTACGATATGCCGGGATACGGGGGGCCGATGCACGGCCCTCCCCAGCCCTGGGGACATCCCATGGACATGCCCATGCAGCACCCCAACATGATGCCTCCTCATAGCAGGTGGGAACCACTAGACACTATAATTTCTGTAGGACACTATCATTTCTGTAGGACACTATCATTTCTATACTATAGGACATGCCCATGCAGCACCCAAACATGATGCCTCCTCACAGCATGTATGTACGTGCTTAGACACATTTCTGTAGGGCACTATCGCTTCTGTAGGGCACTATCATTTCTGTGAGGCACTATCATTTCTGTAAGGCACTATCATTTCTGTAGGACACTATCATTTCTGTAGGACACTATCATTTCTGTAGGGCACTATCATTTCTGTAGGACACTATCATTTCTGTAGGACACTATCATTTCTGTAGGACACTATCATTTCTTTAGGACAGTCACACTATCATTTCTGTAGGACACTATCATTTCTGTAAGGCAATATTATTTTTGTAGGACGCTATCATGGATGGATTGATCGATTGATTGATGTATGTTTCTCCAGGCTGGGCATGCAAGGAGAGGTCGACCAAGGTCATCCCCAGGCTACCATGATGACCTTCAAACAGGTACGTTTTTCGGCTTCCCAAAATTCCATTTTAACCTTTAGCACACATTTGGCTACCAGTTCTCTATTGGTTACAGGGTTAGGCAGCAGGGAGAAGGTTAACCTTTAGCACACTGAAGTAGCCGTTTGGCTACCAATTCTCTATTGGTTACAGGGTTAGGCAGCAGGAAGAAGGTTAACCTTTAGCACACTGAAGTAGCCGTTTGGTTACCAATTCTCTATTGGTTACAGGGTTAGGCAGCAGGGAGAAGGTTAACCTTTAGCATGTAGGAAAATGCGTTATTGAAGGTTTAAAGATGCAAAATCATGCCCCCAGACCCCCTACATTGCTCGTGCCTTCTGCGCTCGGTCCCCCTCTTCAAGCATTTGTGGGCGCACTCGGGGACCAAGGCATCTGGGAAACACAGGGAACACTAGCGTGAAAAGTACCTTTGATGCACACTCAAGTTCGTTACATATGTATCGTCAGCGATCACCCTTTGTCACCAATTCAGATAAAGGATCTAATGAAAAAATTACGTGTCAATTTCCCGTTTAGTGTTGCCAACCATCCGGAATTTACCGTTAAGCGTTGCCGGGCCTACTGAATTTACCGTTAACCGTTGGTAGGACCCCCCCATGCAGACCCCTCATATATAACTGAATGCGTTTGTTCCATGTCAGGGTTTGAAATGCTGGGTGCATGTGCACCCTAGTGCACCCAAATTTGGTGCTGTGCACCCAATGTTTTTCTGTGGGTGCACCCAAATATTTTCTTTACTAAGTAAATAAAGATGTTAAATGTATTGTAGTATACAGCATATTCTTAACATCTAAGTGTCAGAAAAATGATAAAATCAATAGTACTTTTCTTTTCGAAAGGAAACATAATTACTTTTTGCTGACGTTCTAATTGTTTCATCTTGTACGGTGCACCTAAAATATTTTTTGTGAACCCAATTTTTAGGTTGGGTGCACCAGTGCTCCTATTCCCCAAAATGAAGTTCGAGCCCTGCATGTTATTGTCCCAATAAATCCTTCTGATGTCAGTTCTGGATGTTATTTCAGACAGGGTCGGGTCAGGAAGAGTTTAGAGTTCTTTATATTTTTTAGTTTGTTTATTTGTTTGTTTATTCATGGAGGTTATGATGGGAGAGGTCAAGGTCAGACAAAATAGTACAAAATATTTAATCTTTCCTGAAAGACAAACAAAACCAACCAAAAATCACCCCAGACTCACAGACGTTGGCATTTATATAATATTTATTAATCAAAAGAATGACGGAGACTCTTGTTATTCTCACAATCTAATCACAGTACAAAATCGTCTCACAATTTAATCATCAGTAGAAAATTGTCTCACTCAATACACCAAGTAGCAAACTCCTGAATGTGGCTTCAAATCCCCTGCAGAGAAAGTTTACAAGTTGGGCTGCTGTAAGAAGACAGGTACACGTAGGATTGTCATACTAGTCAATGTATAGTTTCTTCATTTTGCACATGACTGTCACGTCTTACATTGTGGTGTTTTAGTATGAACAGCTTCAGTAGTTGTGAAATATGGAGACTGTGTTGTTGTCATAATCAGTCACTACCAGCTGTCCTTGTGTTGCCATGGCAACAGCCCATGGCATCTCCATGTCTGTAGCGATGTGTTTGAGGAATTTTCCTGTCTTGTCAAGCATCTCCACACGGCTGTTTCCCGCGTCTGCCACGATGATGTTCCCTGCCCCGTCTGTACAGATGCCATAGGGATTCCACAGCTGACCTTCACCACTTCCCCAACCTCCAAACTGGAACAGAAACTGTCCGTCCTCCTTGTACACATAGACACAGTGAGTGCACAAGTCTGACACAAGAATGTTCCCTTCCCCATCCACAGTGATGTACTGTGTTTCCTTCATCCCCTGCTGCTGACCCACAGTTCTCACAAGTGTCCCATTTGGCCTGAACACCAAAACTTCACCATGTTTGTTGTCCCTGACTCCTGTGGTTTGTGTGATGAGGATGTGGTTCCTCCTGGTGTCCACGGCAACTCCTCTGTCCCCCTGTGTATCCTGTAGGTCAAACTTCCTCAGCACCCTGCCCTGTTTGTTGTACTGCACAGCAAAGTCAGCAGATTCTGTCCTCCCCACCACCCACAGGTTCCCCTCCCCGTCCAGGGCCACATCCTGTGGTCTCATCTCCTCTTCACCTGACACGACTGTTGGGAACTGTCGGACAAACGTTCCCTGCAGGGTGAAGACTTGGATTCTCTGGTTCCCCCAGTCTGCTACAAAAATCTCCCCTTCCTCTGACACTGTAACACCCCATGGATACTTGAACTGTCCTGGTCCTGATCCCCATGATCTACCAAACGTCACCTGAGACTGATGCTCCTCTTGCCCTTGGTTACCATGGTGATGACCTGTGCCCCTTGCTGCAGGTGCTGCTGGGATTGGTGCAGATGGGAGAGACTGGACCGTCACATGTCCTAATACTGGCATGGGGGTGTCTGTGGGCTGAAAGACAGCAGGCTGGGTTTGTACAGGAGTTGGTGCTGCTTTTCCTCTGTACTTCCCTACCACCTCTGTCAGAGCGGTTTGCTGACTGAGACACTCGACCCCTCCCTGCTGCAGTTCTTGTTCTGCTCGATCACAGGCAGCAGACAGTTCATTGACATCTCCTGACACTCGGTCCCTTTCAGTCTGTATTTTCTCCAAGTTTTCCAGGTGATTTTGTTCCACTTTTGCCAAGAGTTCCTCACAAGCCTGAGTGATAGCATTGTCTGTCTGCTGTTTCCGTTCATTCAGGATATTCTCAGTCTCTCTCAGACCTCTGATGAAGCTACAGTAACTTTCCAGAATGTTCCTCCCCTCATGGATCAAGGCCTGGATTGTAGGCCTGTTTTCCTGTGCAGCTTTTTTGATGGTTGTTGTGGCATGGCCATCATGAACCCCCTCTATGCACTCTTCACAAACTGGCATGTGGCATTGTTTACAGTACATTCTGTACACCTCAGTAGGGTGAAAACTGCACCTGTTTCCAGACTGGGGCTGTTCTCTTGTTTCCTCTGATATTGTAGCTTGTTGTTGGAACCTCTCACACATATTGGCCACAATAAGATTGTCTGGCAAACCTGCGACCCCCTGGCGTGGCAGCCTGACCTGCCGACGACAGTTTGGGCACTGGAGAGGTAGTCGCCTACTTGCATGGTTCTGTAGACAGTCCTGACAGAAGGTGTGCTGACAGGGCAGCACCTTGGGCCTGGTGAACAGCTCCAGGCAGATGCTGCAGGACAGTTCTTCACGGATTTGTGTCCCCAAACTTGACGGTGCAGCCGCCATGATTGTTTCTTGCTGATGTGGCAGCCTCGCCCCAAGTCAAAGTCCAGCTTACGTACATGTTTGCTCAGGGCCAGTCTAAATAGTTGTGTTACAACAAGCCTGTTACTCTTACTACCTCAGGTACTTTTAAATTTAAGGCCTTAACAATTCCATTTCTTGGTCCTCAGACTTGCCAACTGTAATTTTTTTTTCTGACTCCCCCCCCCCAAAAAAAAAACCAAATAGTACATGTACCATTCAGGTTGGGAATTAAAACCCACATGGCCATATTATAGCACCTGAAAAAGCCTTTGTTTTCCTACCTTCAGTTTTTTTCCATTTATCAGTGCTTGAAAGTTGGAAATTCATAGCTGTTGGGTTACCAGTTCTCTATTGGTTACAGGGTTAGGCAGCAGGGAGAAGGTTAACCTTTAGCACACTGAAGTAGCCGTTTGGCTACCAGTTCTCTATTAGTTACAGGGTTAGGCAGCAGGGAGAAGGTTAACCTTTAGCACACTGAAGTAGCCATTTGGCTACCAATTCTCTATTGGTTACAGGGTTAGGCAGCAGGGAGAAGGTTAACCTTTAGCACACTGAAGTAGCCATTTGGCCACCAATTCTTTATTGGTTACAGGGTTAGGCAGCAGGGAGAAGGTAAACCTTTAGCACACTGAAGTAGCCGTTTGGCTATTAATTCTCTCTATATATAGGGTTAGAAACTGCGCCTGTATGAAATTTGTGTTTCCGTTGTAGTTCCATTGACGACCAAGAAGCGATTCGGAAGTACTAAGTGTTACAGCTGTTCCGATAGTCTTGACGTATATGATTGATTGATTGATTGATTGATTGATGTGATTGATTGATTGATTCCGTTGTAGTTCCTGGGAACCCAGGAGGACTCCATTGACGACCAGGAGGCGATCCGGAAGTACAACGAGTACAAGGTGGATTTCCGTAGGAAACAGCTGGAGGAGTTTTTTGTGGCCCACAAAGAAGAGGAATGGTAAGTCTGGACATTTGTTTCAGTCAGAAAATGGGATGGTGTTTCTGAAAGCCTGTAGAAGCAATTTCAAAATACAAAGTTCTGCTGGTTGGGCGGACAGTCGTGTGTTACTGTGTTGAAATTAGTGCTCTGTACCGGTTTGCTAAACTGGTTCCGGACTTGTAAAAATGTTTAGGTTCAAGTCCAAAAAAAACTCAAAATCAAGAACTGATTACGGACTTGTTAAAAAAAAATGTCATACCCCTTTTCTTTCCAAGCCACCTAAAACCTTCCATAGATTGCAAAATCTGTGCTGCAAAATGATGAAAACATTACCATCGAGCATCGTCAAGTGTCGGCCTCCATGTTATGTGGCCACAGTTTTGCCCAGACAACATCGCAAGGTTGCCAACCTGCAATTCTGTATATGCCATGGGCTTAGGTCCGAACTTACGAGTCCAGAACTGAACCTAAACCTCTGGACTTGACTCCGGACCTGAACCTAAATGTGGGTTTAGGTACACAGCACTATAGCTAGTTGTTCTGGTTGGGCAGACAGTTGTGTGTTACTGTGTTGAAATTGTTCCAGCTAGTGCGGATAGTTTTCCAGTGTGTGAATCGAGACTTTATGTTCTGCTGTTCCTGTGCTCCTTGTAACCTGATTTTTCTCCCAATCAAGCGTGGCGGCAGCCTGAATTATCACACTTCGGGACGCGCTCGAGGATTTCAGCCGTAGCTAGCTAGCCGCTGCGCAAAGCAGCGTTAGGGAGACACAGTTTAGCGCTAGTCAGTCAGGAAAGGTCAAACTGCACTAACCTGAAGACACCCGCCGGAGTGGACAGGCACAGGGCTATAAGTATTTACTGTGAAGATGGGTAGGTGGTCGGTGCACATGTTCTTTCCTTTGCTTTAAAACATCATGAAACTTGGGTACAGGGGTAGATACAAGTATGTGCCTTCCTTAAACTTTGTTGTACAGGTACTATAACATTTCATCTGTGTACAGGGGTAACATTTAGTACTTTTATGTCTGGAAACATTTTTCTATGACTCTCACAGTACAATGACAATGTAGTACTAGACAAGTATATTAGGGTTCTGCAGCTTTGGGTAAAACATACTGTGAGGAAGGCAATGTTTGGTGTAAAAGTAGAGAATTAAGCAAAAATCAGTCAAATTAAAGCAGAAAATAAAGAAGCACACAAGAGCCCGCAAATCTGTTACCTACATGTCCTGTGGGCTCATTATAATTTAGTAGAACTTACAATGTAGTTCTGGACAAAAGTTGGCTAGGATCAGTAGCTCTTGTATGTATGGGTGGGTCTTTAGGTTTGGCTGGTTTGGATGTGTTTGGCTGGGTTTGGGACACCAGGGTCTGTAGGTTGGGTGGGTTTGGCTGTGTTGGGTTGGGTGTTGTTCAGGATTGGTTTGTGTGTGTGTTTTTTGTCTAGGACCCTGTACATGTGGACCAGTGCTCTTGTCTGTAACTCACCCAGTGTTTGTCTGTGTGGTTCTGGTCTGACTGTGTTGTTGTCTCGGCAGGTTCCGTTCCAAGTTCCACCCGGACGAGTGCGGGCTGCAGAAGCAGGAATATCTCGACGCCACCAGGAAACGCTTCGACGTTTTCATGGAGCTTCTCGGGACAGGGTGGCTGGACAACGTCACTGTGGACCTGGACAAATCTGATGTCATTACCAAGCTGCTGGACGCTGGTAGGGAGGGGGGGTCTGTGTGTGTGGGGGGGTCTGTCTGTGTGTGT